CAGGCTGGAGTGCAATGGTGTGATCTTGGCTCACTGCAACCTCCGCCTCCTGGGTTCAAGCAATTCTCCTGCCTCAGCCTCCTGAGTAGCTGGGACTACAGGCACGCACCACCATGCCCAGCTAATTTTTTGTATTTTTAGTAGAGACGGGGTTTCACCACATTGACCAGGATGGTCTCGATCTCTCCACCTCGTGATCCACCTGCCTCGGCCTCCCAAAGTGCTGGGATTACAGGTTTGAGCCACCACGCCCGGCCTTTGTTCTTTCTTTCTTTCTTTTTTTTTTTTTTTTTTTTTTTGAGACGGAGTTTCGCTCTTGTTACCCAGGCTGGAGTGCAATGGCGCGATCTCGGCTCACCGCAACCTCTGCCTCCTGGGTTCAGGCAATTCTCCTGCCTCAGCCTCCTGAGTAGCTGGGATTACAGGCACGTGCCACCATGCCCAGCTAATTTTTTGTATTTTTTTTTTAGTAGAGACGGGGTTTCACTATGTTGACCGGGATGGTCTCGATCTCTTGACCTCGTGATCCACCCGCCTCGGCCTCCCAAAGTGCTGGGATTACAGGCTTGAGCCACCGCGCCCGGCCTTTGTTCTTTCTTAACAGGTATGGAAAACTGCTGACAAATGATGCTTCTTACCTCATCTGGGCCAACTAATTCCTGAGCTGTATGACCCCATCTGCCACACCCTGTTTTACCCTGCCCCCAGTCTCCCATCACCAAGGCCATGCCCTACCTTCCCTGCTTTCAGATTTGCAACACAATAAAAGTGAGAGCGTCCAGGCCTGCGCGGCCACTGCAGGACTCCGTGATTTGGTTGGCAGTGGACCCCCGGCCCAAACTCTCTTTTCTCTATCTCTGTGTCTTGTGTCTTTTATGTATACAATTTCTTGTCTGCACACCAGCAGGGAGGGGCTCACAGAACCCTGCAGGGCTGGACCCTACAGGATCTGAAGTCTTAGAGAAAATCCTGTTACAGTGCTTTTAAGGCTTAAGTGAAACATTATTATTCAAAGTCTTCTATATATATATATATATATATATATATTTTGAGATGGAGTTTCGCCCTTGTTACCCAGGCTGGAGTGCAATGGCGCGATCTTGGCTCACCGCAACCTCCGCCTCCTGGGTTCAGTCAATTCTCCTGCCTCAGCCTCCTGAGTAGCTGGAATTACAGGCATGCGCCACCATGCCCAGCTAATTTTTTGTATTTTTAGTAGAGACGGTGTTTCACCATGTTGACCAGGATTGTCTCGATCTCTTGACCTCATGATCTACCCGCCTCGGCCTCCCAAAGTGCTGGGATTACAGGCTTGAGCCACCGCGCCCGGCCGTCTTCTATATTTTGTATGCTAAAACTATACATGGACAACAGGCAATTGTTGTATTTATTGAAAGCCAGCAGTCTCAGCCTAAAAGCTTCTTGCATAGTCACTGGAAATCACAGTGGAAGTTCAGCATCACACTACGTACATCCCATGTGTTTGGCTTGCTGAAGATTCAGGTTCACTATTATGAAGATGGCAATATTCTGTTGGTTATTTCTAAAAATGTACATGCTTAATTAACTGTTTCAAATGAATTCCAAACTGCCAATGAGTTTTTCAAAACTATAAATTATGTAGAAAAAAGTATCAGACAGCAATTAGTAAAAACTATCAATGCCAGACACCACATTCAAAGCCTTTGCTGGCAGCTTCCAGTTACCTGCACCAAAATGGACCATAACAGGTACTTAGCTTCAAGATTGACAAAGAAATGCAGAATGCTTAAAGGCTGAATGTAGGACTCTTTATCAGGTGAAAAGAAAAGAACTTAACATATGGATATAACAATAAATAAGTGATTTATAAACAATGATATTTTTCTGGGGCTTTCATAGTTACCAGGTTTTCTAGTCTCATAGAATATACCATCATCTTGATTCTTTTGTTCTCTACCTTGTAGTTTTCTGTTCTCCCTATATCTACTTGTAAATATGTTTTTTACAATTCTGCTACATTTAGTGTTGGAAAGCAAGATCTACCCTGGAGTCATTTTACTGCTTAGGAAATTTTTCTAGCCATTATGCCATTACTAATATAGACAGGTAGTATGTTCAGTACTTTTCTACCTCAAACTTTCAAATCACTTCAGGGGCTTTAATTTTTTTTTTTTTTTTTTTTTTCAGATGGAGTCTCTCTGTCACCAGGCTGGAGTCCAATGGCGCGATCTCGGCTCACTGCAACCTCCACCTTCCGGGTTCAAGCTATTCTCCTGCCTCAGCCTCCTGAGTAGCTGGGATTATAGGCATGCGCCACTAAGCCTGGCTAATTTATATTTTTAGTAGAGACGGGGTTTCACCATGTTGGCCAAGATGGTCTCAATCTCTTGATCTCATGATCTGCCTGCCTCGGCCTCCCAAAGGGTTGGGATTACAGGCGTGAGCCACAGAACCAGGCCAACCTCTTTAGCTGTGGGTGGATCAGTAAAAACCTTTAGGTTGGCGCGGTGGCTCACACCTGTAATCCCAGCACTTTGGGAGGTCAAGGCAGGTGGATCACCTGAGGTTGGTAGTTTGAGACCAGCATGACCAACATGGAGAAACCCCCGTCTCTACTAAAAATATAAATTAGCCAGGCTTGGTGGCGCATGCCTGTAATCCCAGCTACTCAGGAGACTGAGGCAGGAGAATAGCTTGAACCTGGAAGGTGGAAGTTGCAGTGAGTCGAGACTGCACCATTGGACTCCAGCCTGGGCAACAAGAGCGAAACTCCGTTTCAAAAAACCAAAACCAAAACCAAACACACACACACACACACACACACACACACACACACACACACACACACAAACACACACACCCCAAAACAGCGAAAGAGGCTATGCTATGTGAGAAACTATACCTAAATGAAAGATACATTCATCTTCCTCCTTCCTACTGCTTTGATGATCATTTATAGCATTTCATAAGTGTAGTTTTAAAAAGTTTAGATTGGGAGTTTTGAGGTCCTTTTTGGTGGGCAAAGGAAGATTTCTGGAAATTCCATTATAACCAGCTTTTTCAGGGAAATAGTTTTTCAATCCAGACGTAAACTACGTTTCTAGTATATGAACGTGTTTGCCTTTTTTTTTTTTTTTTTAAGAGATGGGGTTTCACCATGTTGGCCAGGATGGTCTTGACCTCCTGACCTCAGGAGATCCACCCGCCTCCACCTCTAAAAGTGTTGGGATTACAGGCGCGAGCCACCATGCCCGGCCTTGAACATGTTTGCCTTTTTCCCCTTCCCTCAATGTCTCCTTCCCATCTAGTACTACTGTATAGACATCTACATATTTAGAAGAGTTTTACCCATTTTACAAAATATGTGAGAACTGTTGACACACTGAGGATGTAGTACAGTATAAAACTTGGAAAAATGTAGATGTTGAAGGAATAACAGATATCTCGTGCTTTAATATTTTGTGGTAGAACTGTTCTGAGGTATGAGATGAGCAGGCCTCGTTTTCAGGACCCTACTGATCAAAACTGGATACAGCAAAGAAATGGGCCAAAACCAGATGTGAATTATAGTGTATTTGCATAAGACACTCCCAGCAGTGCCATGATGGTTTGTAAATGATGCCACGGCAATGACTCAGAAGTTACCTTATATAGTTCTGGGAATTCTCTGCATCTTTGCAGACAGTTCATGAATAATTCACCCCTTATTTAGCATACAATTAAGAGTGGGTACAAATAAAGCTAATCAGCACTCCACAGGTGCTATTCTGGGCCAGTCTGCCTATGGAATAGCTCCGCTCTGCCTATGGAGCAGCCACTTTGCTGCACACAGTGGCTCTAATAAACTTTTATTTTTCTCACTGTCTGCTCACTCTTGAATTCTGTCTTGAGTGAAGCCAAGAACACTCCCTGGGTGTGCCCCAGATTTGAGGTTTGCCTACATGAAACCTGTAAGCAAATGAATCAAACAACTATGTGAATCACAAACACAAACTTAGTACATACAGTAAATTAGGATGCTACCTAACATTTAACCTTCCTTAAATTAATTGAATATGCTGCTCTGGATTATATTTTCTAACGTTTGCGAATTTCCCATTAATGTTGCAAGGAAACCACATCTGTAACCCACATGCCATACTTATCTACTGAGAGATGCATGAAGAAACAGGAAAATGTTCACAGAGCCTCACTCATTGCAAAATATGTTATATACCCCAAAATATATACACCTACTATGTATCCACAAAAATTAAACATGAAAATATTTTTTGGGGGGATGGAGTCTCGCTCTGTCACCCAGGCTGGAGTGCAGTGGCAGGATCTCGACTGCAACCTCCACCTCCTGGGTACAAGCGATTCTCCTGCCTCAGCCTCCTGAGTAGCTGGGATTACAATCACGTGCCACCACGCCCGGCTAATTTTTTGTATTTTTAGTAGAGACGTGGTTTCACCATGTTGGTCAGGCTGGTCTCGAACTCCTGACCTCGTGATCCGCCCGCTGAGGCCTCCCAAAGTGCTGGGATTACAGGTGTGAGCCACCACGCCCATTCACATTAAAATAGTTTTAAAAAGAACCTCAGCGAAATGGCATCCCGAGCCCAGGGTCTGTGAAGAAATACCCTACAGCTGATGAGTGAGGAGCAAGGTGGGGTGCCTCATTAACATCCAAGAACGTGAACTCTCTGCTCGCCACTGGCAGCGGGCTCCGCCCCCGCAAGCGTACCAGCAGCCCTGGGCCCCTCCCGTGCTCCCCGCCTCTCTTCCCTGCCTAGCGTGGGAAATATCGGCCCCGCCTATTTGATCCGACCCCGCCTCCTCAACTGCGATAGCCCCACCCCGCGTGGTCCCTTTCCTCCTGTGTGCCTGGTGACTCACCTGCGCACTACCGACAACTAGGCTCTATGGGCGGAGCTCGCGCCGGCGCTTGGGCCCTCCCCCATGGCTCAGCCCACAGCCCATCCCCGCCCGAACCCGCCTCCCCGAACCCGCCTCCCCGAACACGCACTTCCGGCGAAGATTCCGCGCTGACCCTGACGCAGCGAGTGCGGCGCCATGGACGGTCGGGTTCAGCTGATGAAGGTCCTCCTGGCCCGGCCTCTCCTGCCCGCGGCGCGTCGCTGGAGGAACCCGATTCCCTTTCCCGAGACGTTTGACGGCGATACCGACCGGCTCCCGGAGTTCATCGTGCAGACGGGCTCCTACATGTTCGTGGACGAGAACACGTTCTCCAACGACGCCCTGAAGGTGACGTTCCTCATCACCCGCCTCACGGGGCCCGCCCTGCAGTGGGTGATCCCCTACATCAAGAAGCAGAGCCCCCTCCTCCGTGATTACCGGGGCTTCCTGGCAGAGATGAAGCGGGTCTTTGGATGGGAGGAGGACGAGGACTTCTAGGCCTGGAGACCCTCGAGCCTGGGGGCGGGAGCTCTGGAGACTGTCCGCTGTGCCAGGTGGCCAGTGCGAGGGTCTCCTCGCGCGCCCTCCCTCCGCACCTCCCCCCACCTCCGGCCGCCGCAATGTCCCCTACGCCCCTGTCCGTACCAGTATAGTGCTTGCCTTTGTTCCAGGAATAGTGTTCCAGGCTCCCGCTGCCGCCCCTGAGCCCTACTCTGGAGAGAGCCACCGCCGCCCTCTGTAGTCAGCCCAGCCCCTCCCATGCATATTTGGACGCTGTCCTGCGCTCCAGCCGCACAAAGCTGGGCTCCTGTTACACACTGGACAGACCACCCACAGCTGCCGCTGCCAACCCCCCTCCACTCCTCCAGACTGCCAGATGACTACATCACTCTGCCCACAGACCATCGCCATCCACCGCATCCCACCGACAGACTGCTGCACCTGGTGACCTGGACTCACCTCAGAGGTATCTGAGCTGGCCACAGCCCCTGGACAATGATCCAGACAGCTGGCTGCCCCGCAAGGGGCCTGTCACCTTCAGTGAGACCCATTTCCTCCCCATCCCCAGAGGCCTCTGTGTTCCTGCCACATGGCTGCCAGGGCTCAGGGGTGCCTGGCAACCAAATCAAATCTCTCATTTTCTCCTGTGGACCAGTTAGTTTACCTGGAATCCTGTTTTCTTCTGAGCTTGCAGCTGTCTCTCTGATGGGTGCCTTTTGTTCAACACAGTAACCCCTGCTCCCTGCCCTGCTCTAATACACTACCTGTACAAAGCTCTTTTCCTTATTTTTAATAAATGTCAGACATTATTAAAAAAGAGATGGAGTCTCAATGAATATGGCACCTTTTCCTCCCTAGTTCTGTAAATAGGGTCTATATCTTGTTCAAATGCTATGTGCCCTGTCATGCTCTGGCTGAAGTTGACTCTTGCATTATAAAAACAAAAGATTGAGTCCCGTGGTATCTCGTAGGGATGGAGATCTTACTGGCAACCATCTAATGCCAAATGATGACCCTTCTAAACCAGGCAGTTTCATGACCCTTTTGAAGTAGACTTTTATCTGATTTTGGCCAAGGTGATGTGAAGAGCTGTGGAAAATATTTTTGAAAAAAGATTTCTTTATGTTCAAAAAATGGTTAGAAAGCACAAATCCCAAATTGTTACAGAACATAAACCTACACCTCTTTGGTGAGCAGCTATCAAAGTATTATTTACCCATTATTCGGGGAAACAGCAGAATGGCTTAGGTACTTCAGAAAAAGCATTTATATTTATTTTGCTTGGATTTGTGGTGTTAGTGGAATAAGGTATACAAAACTATGACTAATTTAGGTAGAAACCTGGTTGGTAATCTGCAGGTAAGTAAAATTATAACCTTCAATTGATAGAAAATAAATCATTCCTTATGATTATTTGGGTTAAATTCTTTTTTTTTTTTTTTTTTGAGATGGAGTCTAGCTTTGTTACCCAGGCTGGAGTGCAGTGGTGCGATCACTTGAACCTCCCAGGTTCAAGTGATTCTCCTGCCTCAGCCTCCCGAGTAGCTGGGATTATAGGCATGTGCCACCACATTTTGCTAATTTTTGTATTTTTAGTAGAGACGGGGTTTCACCATGTTGGCCAGGCTGGTCTCGAACTCCTGACCTCAAGTAATCCAGCTGCCTTGGCTTCCCAAAGTACTGGGATTATAGGTATGAGCCACCACACCTGGCCTGGGTTAACTTCTAAATGTGTTTTGCTGTAAAAAGCCTTTCTCCCTCATCAATTCTTGCTCAAAGTTAAATCATCCTGATAGAATCAGATGATCTACAGTTGGGCTTATAAGACAATGCTCTGGTGTGATGTTAAAAGGTTGTGTTTGGGTTTTGCAGAGAAACAACCAATAGGATATATAGATATAGATATGTATGTACATCTTCTGTTGTATATTTATTATATGGAATTTGCTCTCATGATTATGGATGCTGAGAAGTCTCAAGATCTGCAGTCAGGAAGCTGGAGCCCCAGAAGAGCTGATGTTCAGTCTGAGTCTAAAAGCCTGAGAGTCAGGTGAGCCAATGGTATATGTTCCAGTCTGAAAGCTGGCAGGCTTAAGACCCAACAAGAGCTGATGTTTCAGCTCAAGGCAAGGAGAACAAATCTTTCAGCTCAGAGCAGTCAAGCAGTAGGAATTCTCTCTTACTAGGGGGAGAATCATTCTTTTTGTTCTCTTCAGGCCATCAACTGATTGGATGAGGGGAGGGCAATCTGCTTTATTCAGTCTGTTGATTCAAATGTTAATCTTAGCCCCAAACACCCTCACAAACACACCCAGAATAATATTTGACCAAATATCTGTGCACCCTATGGCCCCATCATGGTTAATGTGTAAAAATAATCATTGCAGTTGTGCAAGCAACTTTTTGCCTCATTTCTAAGTTTTTGTGATTTTTCTAGAACCTGGGATAGAGGAATGAATCACACCAGTGTTTTTTCACTATTTTCCTCTCTCTCGCTTCATATGAACAGTTTTTGTCATTTATGTGCCATAGTTGGCAGGGCTGTATGTGGAATGTAAGGTACATTATCTACAGTATGTATCCGATTATGCTTTTCTTTTCCCAAATTAAAAAAAAAAAAATGATTAGATTGCGTTTTGGCTTGTAATAGGTCAAAGTCTTGAAGTTGGAGGAAAAATTTGAATTGCTTAATAAAATGAAGTTTTTATGATTTACAGGGCTCTTAAAACAGTTGAGACTAGGTTAATTATGAGGTGTCAATTAAAGGTGCTTATAGTCTTCTTTCCTGGATGGGTAAAAAGGACAGTGTGTTAAGTATATTCATTGTTTGGTTTTAAACATAGATTCTGCTAAAGCAGCTGGAAAAGCATGTGAAGGCAGTTTACATGATGGAGTAGGCCAGCCTTCCCTGTGATCTGTGTCCACTGGCTCTGGAGGTAGGTAGAATGGGCGGGGACCTTCTGGGTAACTTTTAAACAGTATCAGTAACCCCCTACCTCCCTCAACAACAATGCCCTAGCAGTTTTCTACCTTCTGGCAGAATGGCTCTGTCAGGGAATCATTCCTTGGTCTACACTAGTTCTATCATTCCAAGTCTTCTTCCATGCTACACATATCTTGGGGTGGGTAATAGTTCATAAAAACCAATCCTGAACATCTTTACAACATTATGTAAAGGGACAGAAGAAATCATATTTGTAAGGGGTGAAAGGTGGTGTTTTTCATTCGTTTGGAGCCTCACCCCTTGCAGTTGTCATTTGGTTTCTCTTCCTCATTTCCTACTCAGTCTTAGCCAGGAAGCCATCCCTGGGAAGCAGAAGGTATCAGTAGACTCAAATGGTTCCTGTGCTTGGAGGAGATACCTAGAGTGAGGGAAGGATTACATTGTTGGATAGTATAATAACTTTGTAATCTGAAAGAGAACTCACCTTACAACATGGAAACCTATTGATAGAAGTTTGACTGTAATTTACAGAGGAGTTTTATTCAGGCATCATCAAAATTTGGGTAGATTTAAAATCCTGAGAGGTTTCCTCCTTCCACAAAGCAAGACTACATGTATGGTCTTCGATCGGTTTTCCTGGGCTGCCATAGAATGTATTACACACTAGGTGGCTTAAACAACAGAAATTGATTGTCTCACAGTTCTGGAGGCGAGAAGACCAAAATCAAGGTGTCAGCAGGATCGGTTCTTTCCGAGGTCTGTGAGGGAAGGATCTGTTCCAGGTCTCTCTCTGAGTCTTTGTCTTCACATCATCTTCCCTTTATTAGTGTCTGGATCTGTGTCAAAATTTCCCTTTTTATAAGGATACTTGTCATATTGGTTCAGAGCCTGTCCTAATAACCCTATGTGGGAAACATTCCCGTGTGAGACTCCCAAAAGGCATGGGTCTCACTATACAGTGAGTTTGATCCCAAACACAGTTTCCTACTGGAGGCAGTCGAGCTATCGGAAAGAAGGAACTGAAAGATGACTGATCAGTTTCTAATATTAACCACGATATCGTTTGGGCCTAAACTATGCGGTGCTGCTATACCAAGTGACTCCATACCAGCAACCAGTTTCTGCTTTTAACTTTTATGACTCTTTCTTTAAGAATAGCTTTAACCTTTTCTTTACTTGCATGACTGCCTTGTACCCTAGATAATGGTTTAACTGTGGGGATATTTGCAAAGCAAATGCCACTCTACGGATGGCTTTGATCCCTGACTCAGAGACTCCTGAATAGGGGGAGTTGAGATAAGTTGAGGCAGGAGCAGACAAAGGAGAATCTGGTTAAAAGATACTCTGATGAGCAAAACCAGAAAACCTTTTCACATGTGAGTCCTGAAACAGGATCAAACCAAAAATACCTGCAGCCATGAAGAATAATGTCTGGATGTAAATAAGCTTTGTGACCACAGGAAATTCTATTACTTTTTACAACCACTGATTGATTGTGTATCTGACTTCTCTGTTGCATAGGCCATGTAAGGTATAGATTTGCATTTCCTCTTGCAATGACGTAAACCAGAGCAAAGAAAGTGTATTTATTCCTGGCCTTTTGAAAAATAAATCTGCTGTTTAGGCACTGCCTTCTCGGCCCTCCAGACCCCCACACTTTCTGTCTCCCTTTATTTCTATAAGCGCACGCTCTCTTCCATGTTTTGGGACCCTCTTGCAGGTCCAGAGATCCCCGGCAGACATGCCGTCCCGACCGTCCCCGACAACCATATTTTAAGCTGTTTACCTCTGTAAAAACCGTATCTCCAAATAAAGTCATTTTCAGAGGTACTGGGGTTTAGGACTCTACCATATCCTTTTGGGGGTTGCACAGTTCAACCCGTAACAGGTCCCCTGTTTGTATCAGTGTGTTCAAGAGGAAGAATACTCTGACCTAGTCTGTCGATATGACCTCCTTTTTCTAGACCAATGTCATTTCACTCTGAGATGGGTGGAAGATGTGAGGGAATTCAACTCTCTTTTCAAAGGAAGAAGCCCTTGGCTGCTTTTAGTGCAGCAGGTCTGTGAGAGGAGAGGGATGGAGGGAGGGAAAAGAAGAGAAAAAATTAATGTCAGTGAAGTTCAGCACATTAACCCTTGTACTGGCCCCATTAGCATGTATTCAACTTTTTTTTTTTGGTCTGTCCTGCATAGCATTTCAGAAATGACGAGTCAGCATACTCTACAATCTTCTCCTTTTCATCAGAAGTGACTCCCAATAAGTAGATCTATATATTTGTCTTGGGAACTGGATAACATTTTGGAATTATAAATTGTCCTAATAATTTCTTATATATTCCAAAATCTTTATATGAAATGATGACATAGAGACACAAGAGGGTGCTAGCAACACAGATAAATGTTTTTATAACAACGTATTGAAATTTGAGAAATTATTATAATTTGAAATTCGAAATTCTCAATTTCTCAAATTGAAATTTGAGAAATTATTATATTGGTGGTGAATTACATTGGTGCATTCAGCTCTCTATCAGGTTCTATGTCTTAGTTGGTTAACATGATATAATGCCTAGTTTAGTATTTTCTTTCACAATTCATATGCCATTTCCTTTAATCTTCTCTGCAAACCTTGATGGATTGACTGATTCAACTATTCATCATCAGTTATCATTTATTAAGTACTTTTCTGTGTTCCAGGTACTTGTAGGGTCCAACCCTACAGGGTTCTGTGAGCCCCTCTCTGCTGGTGCGGAGAAACTGTGGAAATAAAGACACAAGACACAGAGATAGAGAAAAGAGAGCTTGGGCCCGGGGGTCCACTGCCAACCAAAGGGTGGAGTCTGGCAGTGTCCCCAGTGCCTGGACGCTCTCAC